GGAGAGCTTTAAAAGCAAATAAAAGAATTTTAAAATGAATCCTAAAAGAAATGGGCAGCCAGTGAAGTGAAGCTAAAATAGGGGAAATGTACTCAAACTTTCGAGTGCCAGTTAAAAGTGTATATAGTGTATACAAGTATATATGTCATCAAAAAATCCACAACAAGCTCAAAAATTGAGTTAATTATGTAAATACATAAACTGTCTCTGGATAAGAGAGAAGCAGAGAGAAAGAAAGACTTCTGACTGAGCTACGTAAATATCATTAGAGATAAAGTCGCACTGCACTGTAAACACTGTGAGCCTGCCTGTGCTGTCAAGGTGCACAAATAAGTCTTGCTAGCTCCCTGTAACCTTTAGTAGAAAAAACATGGCATCATTATGTGTCTCCATGCTTGTTGTAACCCCTTGCTCATATTGTGTGCAACCAGAAATTGCAAGAAAAGCATAGCCATTAATTACCGGTGAACTGTTAACAGTTCTCACAACAAATCAGTTTCTTCCAGTGAAAATATCTCATAAACAGAGAGTTTATTGAAGTTCAGTGCCACCATCTCCAAACCATACACCATAGCAGGCTTTTATCAACCCCACATTAAACCCATATGTCACTTCTACCACACACCTTATGTCCACATACATGTCCAACACCACCCTCACATACTTCTCTGCCACTTCTGACTTCCTCATGCAGTGGCTTCCTCTCTTGGCATTGTTTTCATCATTCAAAGCTCCTCTAAGTAATCCTTTTACTTTTTCAGCTGACTCTCTTCACTTGTAAGCACATTTCCATTTCTATTTGTCCTGACCTCATGCACATCCTTTCCAGCTCGATGTGGTGGTTGCCAATAGCTATTTAAGTCGTATTTGCCTCCCTCATCAAATTTGAAAAAGCACAATGTAAAGATGCTGCAAACTTAAATTAAGTAAAGAAAAAGCTAGCAAATCAGTATGCTTTTCCAAATGCTGTCTGTTTACAGATCATCACCATCATCAGCCAAGATGCAATTCTTAGTGGTAGACAAAAAAAAAAGCATTTTTCTTCTAAAACGTTTTTCAAAAATGAAGAAAATCAGAAGTATAGAATAACTTAAAGAATGAAGAAATTCACTGAAAATAAGTGTAGCTTTTCTCTCTTGAACTTCAAGACATTAAATTTTAGGTTGTTCCATCGAGATCAAGTCCAATTCTGGGATTTCCGATAGCACTTGAAAGCAGCAAACTTTGGATCCCTTCCATGTCCTTAACGGGAAACCACCCGTTTTTCCCATGTGTCAAGCCAAAGAAAATCCTCCTCACAGCTCTTATGTGTTATATTTACTGGCAGACAAAAATAAATAAAAAGCCATTTATGGATCCGTCACATTATATAGCTTATGAACGAAAATGTTTTAAATCCAGAAACTTTAATGCAGTGATGACAAAAAACGTATATATAAAAAAGTAAACAATAGGATTCTTCATGGGTCACTTATATTCAGAGCAGACAGAACTTTATTGTATTGCACTTAAGGCTGAACTCAGTCTCTTCCAGATGTGAGTTACAGCTTCCTAAGTGGGATACTTCCCACATCTTGACGTCAGCTGGATGTTTGACTTTCCCTCCCAATTCCAGCCTCACTCTGACGCATTCGCATATCTGGTCCTCAGCAGCATTTTGGGGTAAGTTACACAGCAGAAAACCATGAAAAACTTTCTCTATGCTTACTAACGCTGAAGAGGATTTAGTGTACACTAACAGCTGTCAAATGTGTATTTTTGGGTCCTGTTGTTAACGCTATGTAAGGATCAGAAAGCCGAGCCCTATGTGCATTCTCATATTACATTACATAGCTTATGCATTCCTGGTAGTGTGCGTTATGTAACAGAAGTATTCTCACAAATCTCTTTAGGTGAAACAAATATGCTCATGATGCTGGATTATCAATCGAGAGTGCCTTTAATTCACTGTTTTGTGTCTCTTCACACTTTACTGCGAACCCCTGAAAGTCTTTCTTCTGAGACTGCTGAACAAACACGGATTTCACAGAGATTAAACTTAGGCTGTTAAACAGGACAGAAATTAAAATTAAACTCCGACCCAAAGAATACAGCCTGATGTTTGAATTTTATCAGTGAATCACTGCATTAACAGACTCTTGCTGGACAGCGTTTCATGTTTTTCAAATATGGGGAAGAGAAAGGAAGACAGTGTTCCATCCCAAATATAGTCACATGAAAAGAAAGGTTTACACAAACCTCTGTGTCATTGGGAAACACCAGGTACAACACCGTGATCCTTTTCTTTTTAAGCCATTCTGCTGTGCGTGGGATCACTGACTTGTTGCATCACCCAGTTTCAGCCAAGCTTTAGCTTTGCTACAGATGGATTCACCTTTGACCCCGGAATACTTTGCTATACAAAAGAGTTGATGGTGATAGCGCTGATGTGCTCTGTTTGTTTTTCACTGAACATAGTGCTGTGCATTATGACCAAACATCACTATCTTGTCAAAAGGACACTAAGTCCTCCAATTTAATGAGATGCAACTTTGCAAAGAGAAAAGAAGCTTTCTCCTGGCAATGATTCCAACAAGCCATACTTGGCAAGCACTTTAAACTTTTCTATACCAAGTCTAACTAAATGCTCAATTTGTAAACTACTGTGTAGTGTCTTCTGATGATTTATTTGGTAGCTCCGACTATTCCTCAGTAAGATATGCCAAGCACGTGTGATTAAATGTATTATCACTAAATGAGCTCAGCAAACTGCTGTCAGCCAGATTTTCTGTCACAGTCTTAAACACAGGGGCTGAAGACACAAGGGGAATCTAATAAACCATGAATAGTAACGGCAACCTAGGCATAAAGGAATGAACTTAGAGGACCTAAGAAACTTAAACTCAAACATAAACCATAAACATCAATGTATATATGAACTCAAAACAAGGGGTCAAAAGACCCAGGATCGTGACATCGTCCACGTTTCAGTAACCAGCTTTTCATCATTCATCACATTCAGACGTGACTACTGTGGAGAAGTACAACATGTGGACTCAGAAACAAATTTTTTTTATGTAACTTTGTCTCAAATGATTTTTTTAAAAACTGCTAGGATTATAACTTTTCTTAACTGTTGCTACAACTCATCAGATATTTACAATTTCAATTATGAAAAGCTCCTGTAGAAAAATGGCAGTTATTAGCTATAAATCCTAATGTAACGGTGGCTGTGTTGTGGTTCTGGGTCATTCGACTGCTTATTTTATTCCTTGTGATCCGTGGTTTGTTTAATCTTTATATTTATATTCTCTAGTGTATTTAGTTCTGCTCCTTTGTCTCAGTTGTTATACAGATCACTTCTTCTCTAGTGTTTCACCGTCTTATGTCTAGTTCTTTGTATGCAGTTCATTCATGTCTATGTGTCTTCCCCTTATAGTTATAACGCTTCCTGTGTTATTTTGAGAGTCAGTGCTCCTTGCGTTTTGCTTTTAGTTTTGCTTCCTTCATCTCCTCGCCTGTGATCTACTCCACGAGTCTTCTGTTACCCATCTGTCAAATCATCTATTTCTGTTTCCTGTGTGGTTTCCTGCCTGTTTATTTCATTTTGTATTTTGTGTTTATTTCTCTAGTTTTAGGTTTTCAGTTGTTCTGGTTTTTTTACACTGACTCCTTTGGACTTTGTGTTTTGCTGGACTTTCTACATCGGGCAATAAACAACTTGTCTTCTGTTCACCTTTGCCTCCCTAAGCGTTTCTGCATTTGGGACTCATAGATTTATGATATACTGAGATTTTTGCAGCCTTATAAGCCACTCTGCGTGACACAGCTTTAACAAACATGAGCAGAACAAGAATTTGTTTTTCCTTCTCCTTTTGGAACAGGAAATGGTCAACATTTTGTTTTTGTTAGTTTTCCTTGGGAATAGGATGGGTGTCGGTGATTTTGTGTTCATTTGATTTTTATTTGTGTAAATAGTTGTTCTGTATATGTTGTTGGTTTTGATGGCTGCAGACTGTAACATGCTAATACATGCTCTGTCAAGCATGGATCCTACCCCTCCTCTGTTTGTTGTCGTGCTATATCCCCTTTGACTCAGTCATAACAGCTGCTGGGGGAAACCTTTTTATTTCAAACCCAAGCATTTATTTTCCATTCCCTTTTGAGTTTGCTTTGGACTTTTCATATCAAGTTGATTACCCCCCTCGACATTTTTAGTGGTTGGTTACATTGTGAGATGGTCATTTTAAATTTCTAACACTTTTTCCCAGGTAATCTTTGAAAACAACACTGTTAGAAAGGCCAACTTTGAACCTCATGTCTAATTCTTTCATTGTTGGTCATATTTCATCTGGAGCAGCCCAGAATCTCGCTGTATATCTTGACACACTTTACCCTGTGTAGGATGGGCAGACTTTAGTCCGTGTTGGCCGTGGCCACCTGTCGGCACCACTTTGCTCCAATCCTGAAGCAGAATTAGTCTGAACAAAAGGAAAACACTCACCCTTAAGGCCAATGTCTGTCTGAATGTCAAAATAAATAATTATTAAAAGCTGGTAATCATTACTCTCCACTTCTAGAATTTGCAAGCACAGATCCAACAAGTTTCTTCTGTAAATGCAAAATTAAATAGGATTTCTCTCTCGCTTTATGTTCCTTTAAGACATTTAATGCAATATCCCAGCTCTTATGACAACCATTGCACTTGGTGGAAATGTTTGCTTTCTTGCAGAGAAAAGAAGCCTAATTTCTGTCTGGTAAATATAAAACCACAGGGAGCAGCTTTCAAGGTTAGCTTACCAGAAAGACAAGAAACAGACATTCAAAGTTGTATTTATTAGGTGGCGGCTGTATTTCAGTTGGTAACAGCAACTTTCCCAGTTGGCTGTCTGCAGATACCTACAGTAATGCACGTACGCCAAGTGCACATTGCACAGCTGTAATCACATTTTATCACATTTTGAGTGTATGTGTGTAAAGTCACACAGTTTTCTTATGTATCCAATTCTGCAGTCTCCAAAAATATTATGTTACAAAGAAAGAAAAATACAAAACGGCAATGAACCCTGAGATGTTATGTAAATCTCATCCATTGGTGAATAAGTGTAAGTACAACAACAACAACACTATAAGACTATTTGAAGTTAGATTGTCTTTTGTTTAATGTAACCCAAAGGAAGAATGTAGCGGTCAGCTTCATCCGGACTTCAAAATGAGGCTGAAAGTCATGTTTCTGCACTGATTTTATTGCCAAACCAGAAAATCTACCGACGGTCATAGAAACCACGATTTCAAAACAGTGTTTTCTCTGGAATCTCAAAGCACAGCTGTAATTTTCTAAGTGTGTTTGTCCATGTGAAATTCAATGTGGGCTTTCTGTGCCAAGCAATATATCCTTAACTGGGGTTCAAAAAGAGCACACCCATCACACATGTGTATGAGTGGGTGTGAGTGTGTGCGTGCGTGTGTGGGTCCTAATTCAAACCATCTGTAGATATCGTCCATATCGCCTCTCTTCATGTGTTGGTAAGTAAATATTTAATGCATTAAACGTACAGAGTGACCTCAGTCCATTTTATTTAGTCATTTATGAAAGCGGACCTGAACTGAAAGAGCTTTTTAAAAAATATAGATTATGTTTAAGTCACAACTATATTAGATTTTACTTTTCTCTCATTTTCTTGGCCTCTGTGATTAGTTCAGGTGTGTCTTGTTTTCCACAGCTGTATTCACTTTCATGATTGCCCTCCCTGTTTCCATGCTCAGTGTTCATTGTGCCTCTGGCAATAGCCTGCTTTTCACCTTTTGGATTTTATTTTTTGCTTTATGGATATTTTATGGATATTTTCAACAGCCTAATTAAATGACTCATTTTTGTTCAATCATACCTGTGTACAGTATTTGCATCTTGGGTCTTTCCCTCTACTCTACATAATCAGCCGATTGCGATGGAGTTAAGTTAAATTGGTTGGTTTCTTGGCATGTGCCTAGCTTTAAAGCATAGTCCACTAATTTTCAATTGGGTTTAGCTCAAGGCTGAGAAGGAAATCCTAGAAGCTTAACGTTAGCCTGCTTTATTTAATTTGGATGTGTTTCTAGTGGAAGACCCGATTATGTCCATCTAGCTGCTGATTTGAGGTGAAGTTGAAGAATTTAGAAGTAGTCCTCCTCCTCCTTCTTGTTCTATCCACTTTGTGCAATGTACCAGTACTGCTGGAAGCAAAATAGCCCCTGAGCATGATGCTACCACCACCATGCTTGACTGCTGGGACAGTGTTCTTAGGTTTGAAAGCCTCACCTTTACTCCTCCAAACATCTGTTATCATTGTGACAAAAGGCACACAAATTGGAAATATACAGTAATTGTAGATTTACACAAGTTGGAACGATACCACTGGTCAATTCAACAGTTACTCTAATAATTTCTCCTTTTTATGCTTACAACAAGAAACCACCAGCTGTAGTCAATTATAATCGCTAATGAGAACAGGCCATGGTGCTGTCTTGTTACAATACATTGTAGATCATCAACATGAATCAAGAGACTTAAATGAATGTATGCATATATTTGAGCCTTTATGTATACTTTTGACCCTGTGTGGATTGGAGAAAATCAAAAATATCATTGGATTTCTCCTCAATCGATAAAAAACTATTCTAATAAAGCTTTAAAAGCCCCAAATTACTATGACACTTATGCCCACCTAAGAACATTGTACCAACAGGCAAGCATGTTTGTAAACTTGTAACCACAACTGTATATTTACAACAAAAGCTTTCAGTGCAATATCATCGTGTGTGTCATAGTCCTCGGATTTCTATGCTTCTGTTTATTTTTGGATTTTGTGATTATTTTGAGGTTTTCTGTTACTGTTTTTATGACGTTTTTTATGAGTTTCTTGTGTAAATTTCCAAGATATTTCTCGAGTTGATAATGACTACATATCTATATCTCTGTATCAATATGTCTCCGATGTTCAGCTTTTGGCATATCATTTTGGTCATTATATGGCATTGAAATATTTAAGGTAAACAACAGGGCTGAGGTGTCTTTTACCTAAACTACACAGCATGAAACAAGACGCAGGCGAATAAGGCAAAAACAAAAACAAAGTTATTACAACAATAACATGCAAAATTAATAACTACCCTTCTTTCATCAGTGTATCCATCCATCTATTTTCTTTCACTTATCCAATTCATGTGGGCTAGATAGAATGAAGTGTATCCCAGCTGTCACGTTATTAATATAAGATTTCATGATAACAGGCAGCCAACTGATATCCTTTACTTAAAGGGTTAGCGTTTGGCATCAGGACTTTCTGCTTGATTCGATTTAGGAATGGCATTGTGTCTGCTAGAAAGCTTTGAATTCAAACCTTTCCTGTGTGTGTGTGTGTGCGTGTGTGTACTGTTTTTACTTTATTTATTTATTTATTTATTTATTTATTTATTTTAAATTCTTGTTCAGGATCTATTACTCTAGTAATGACAAACTCAGTTCGCTATTTGTTATTTTCAGTGACTGAATAAATGAAACTATAAAAACAAACTAAAACTGCAAACAAAAAAGAGAAAAAAATAAGAACATTGAAAGTCATTAATAAAATATGTTCACACTGATGTCTCCCTGTTTCAAGCTCACACAGTCAATACAACTTTATTTGTTTGTTTTCTGGCATGGTCCCAATGTTGTGACCCAGGGTTGTGAGTTACAGTGGTGTGAAAAAGTGTTTGCCCCCTTCCTGAATTTTTCTTGTATGTTTGTCACATTTAAATGTTTCAGATCATCAAACAAATTTAAATATTAGACAAAGATAACACAGGAAAAAAAAAGCAGTTTTAAAGTGTTGTTGTTTTTTTTTTAATTAGGGGGATATTAGATCTAAACCTACATGGCCCTGTGCGAAGAGTGAAATATTCTACGGACTGACAAGGCAAACGTTTTTTGGATCCACAAACTTTTTGATGGTGTGCATCCCATTTTGTTAAAAGTAACAAAACAGTGTGATGACTTGAGGCTGTTTTGCTGCCTCAAGACTTGGAAAATGTCCGGCCATCCGTCTAATCTCAAGATGAAACGCACTTGGGTTCTGTTGTAGTCCTTTATTCCTCATTAGGTGATGTCTGTCTTGTCTCTGTGTTTGGTTTCCTTCCTGTCTGTGTTTCTGTTCCTTCTGTTCCTTCTGGTTGAGTTTTGATTGTCTTGTGTGTGCTCGGTACAGTTTTGCTTCCCTTTGTCTCATTGGCTAGAATTAGTTCAGCTGTGTGTTTTTTCTTCAGGCATCTCGCCTCTGCCTTCCTCTTCTCTTGTCTATTTAAACTTGTGTTCTTTGTTGCAATCGTCCTCATGTTGTGTCCCATGCATTCTGTATTTCTTCCATAGTGCCTAATTTGTAAGTTCCTCGTTCCTGCCTTCTCAGTTTTTTGTTTGTTGTTTTGTTCCCATGAGTTTAGCAACAAAGCTGCTTTTAGCTTATTTCTCGATTTCTCAAGTCTGCATTTTGGTCCCACTCCTGTCTGCCTTACAGTCAGCCCTAAAGCTTTTACCACTGAAATGGATGTTTCTTCTTAAGTGCTGTACTATTTTATTACCGTATATGATCATTCCCATAATGTTATCATCCACTCTGGAAACTGAGCATTTATACTTAAACTTCTATATTATGGTGCATAGAAATATAATAACTAAGACACGAAAAAGACAGCACATTACACCAGTGTTACGTTCATTACACTGGCTTCCAGTGCATTTTAGAATTCATTTTAAAATCTTGGTACTGACTTTTAAAGCTTTGAATTGTGATGCCCCTGCCTACATTTCTGATCTTTTAGAACCCCACGCTCCTTCTGGCAGCCTGAGATCATCTAATCAAAGGCTGCTGGTAGTCCCACGAACACGTTTTAAGCCCGGAGGTGATAGATCTTTTAGAGCGGTGGCTCCCTCAATCACTACGTTGCCTTGATTGTATTTATTCTTTTAAAAAGCAGCTTAAGACTCATTTATTTAGATTGTCTTTTAATTAGATTTGTGCTGTATGTTTGATTTTCTTTTGTGGTTTTTATCCTGTGAAGAGGGCTATTTACATAAATTGAATTGAATTGAACTGTAAAAAACAATAAAGAACTAATTTTAAAAAATCTGAACAGACCGACTGTCTGTTCAGAGAATAGTAGCCTTTCTTTCTAATTGTTCTTTCATTGTTCACCTTGATAATCATGGCCATAATTTACTAAGACTGCAACAATAAGTGCGATTTGCTGATAATAATGTAATGTTGTGTTTAAATGCAGGACTGATGAAGATGCTCGAGACTCTTCTTCAGCAGTGATGGCTGCTTTCAGCCCCCCTGCCCCTTTCCTCTGTGTGCTGCTGTGTGTTTCGGTGGCTCTGCAGCGATCTGACTTGCACCTGGCTTATGTAACCCACAACAGCTTTTTGTACTACTCCTGCAGCCAGGACCCACAACCCTGCAGCATCTCATCGCTTACAGATTGCGTATGCAAGGACATCCAGCTCTCCACACTGCACCGCCTGCAGTCGCACTTGTCTCCTGTTTTCCAGATGAGACGCTTAACCGTTTGGTTCACGTCACCGTCAAATGCAGCACGTCTGCTCAACAACTCAGAGGTGAGGCACCTCACACTGATCTATTGCGGATCCAGTGGGATGCCTCCTTTTAATCCGGAGGGATATTTTGCCGTGCACCACCTGGAGAGGCTGACGGTGGTCAACCTGCCACAGAAGCCATTTTATCCCTATCCAGATTTGAACAGAGCCAAGACTGGAGACCCAGACAGAGAAAACAATGCTGACTTAGACACAAATAGGTACAACACAGAAATAGACACAAATCTGGACTTAAGGAGAGATTATTTAAGTCTGTCTCCAGCACAGGTCCAAGACATCTTCCTGGGCAGGGAGCTCGGAGCAGAGTATTATGAACAAGCCAGACTGGGAATCATCCACAAATCAGTGCTGGAGGGGGGAGCAGTGGTTAAAGCATACACAGTAAAGACACACATAGACAGCAGTGGTGCGCTGCCTTTCCCTGAACTCCACCTGCCGAAATTGCCAGAGACATCTGTCATATATGTCACTTTTGTCTACTGATAAAAAAAATAGTTTAATCTCTTTTAAAAGCAGGATTTCAGTCATTTGAATTAGTGGTGAAAATGTCCACGTTTCTTGGAAACTGAATGCATTTGAAAGAGTTTACATTTGTTTTTGCATTCTTGTCCTGGGAAAAAGTTTTGGTTCACTAACTTTAATCACATCAGGCGGCCCAAGAGTTTGCACAGTTGTTTAATTGTGTGTTAAAATAGGCCAATCACAGAGTTTTGCTGTTTCTATGTTTATGCTGAAGGCAACGGTTAGAAAGTACAATCTGTTTCCTTCCTGTGTTAGCCAGCCGACCAATATTTACTCTTTTGTTTCCTATGCAGTGCTGTGAAAAAATATTTGCCCCTTCCCGATTTCTTTCCTCTTTTCACATATTCAGCACAGGGTTCAGATCATCAAACAAGTAAATACAAAATACAGTTTTAAAATGGCAATTTTTATTTATTGAGGGAAAACTGCTATCCGAATCTACTAATTGATGACTCATACAGGAGGTCACAAAAGAGCCCATAACATAATCTAAGTGTTGGCTTCACTTCAATCAGTTAAAATCAGAGTTCATGGTTCAACAGTAAGAAAGAGACTGGGCAGAAATGGCATCCATGGGAGAGTTCCAAGGAGAAAAATCACTGCTGACCAGAAAGGAAACAAAAGCTTGGGAAAATATTCTATCGACTGATCAAAGCAAGAGTCAAACATGGTGTGATGTTTGTGTGATGGTCTGGGGCTTTTTTGCTGCTTCAGGATCAGGACATAGATGACTTGCTGTAATTGATTGAACCATGAATTTTGATCTCTAACACAAAATCCTGAAGGACAACTGTCCAGCCATCAGTTCGTGCCCTGAAGTTCAAGCACACTTGGGTTATGCAGCTACCAAGCAAACCTCTAAACAGGCGATTTGTGCTTGTAAAGCCTCCAGTGTGGCTAAAGTAAAACAAAATACTGTGGGCCAAAATTCCTCCACAGAGATGTGAAAGACTCATTGTCAGTTATCACTAATGCTTGAATGTGGTGCTTGCTGCAGTAACCAGAGGCACAACTAATTATTAGGCTTAGAAAATGACTTTTTCACATAATGCCAGGTAAGTTTGGAAAACCTTTTTCTCATAAATACATTAAAAACTGCATGCTGTATTTATCCTGGTTGCCTTTGACTAATATTAAATTTTGATTGATGATCTGAAATACGTGTGACAAATTTGCAAAAATAAATAAAAATGGGAAGGGGGTGAATCCTTTTTCACAGCACTGTATGTGATAAAAAAAAATGGAGAATGCAATGAAAGCTGTGGTCCACTTCCTTAATCTAATGTGAGGCTGCAACACCGTTTCATATACTGCAGCAGTTTTTTGCATGTCATAATGTCAAGCACAGTGAATGTTGTGAAAAGGTGGAGGGTCCCTAATTGCAACTAAACATTCAGCTGTTTCAAAATGATTTGGTGTAATGTTGACTTATAATAACTTCACTTACTCACAGTCTCACGTGTCTGCCAATGCTAGAAAAAAAAAACGAAAGAAGTTCATTTGTAAGCACAACATGTTTTTACGAATCCCTCCCAGTTCTGCTTTCTCGAGCTGACTTTTTATTATTTTTTGTGCGATCAGCAGAGTTTTTTGTGAAAGTATTAAAAACAACTTTTTGTTGTTGTTGTTCCAGTTACAGCCTAATTTTTCTATGTTTTTATGATTTCATGAGTTCAGTATAATTTCTATGATATAGTGAAGATGGATTCTCAGCTCACCAAAAAGCTCCTGGTATAGTGGAAGAAGTTGGTCTTCGAGGATGTTTTTATGAAAAAGCATGGGCCACACTGTAAATACCTTATTTTATAGATAAATTTGACTTATTTCAAAATAACTCTTTGAAACTTTTCCATAGATTGCACAAAATCTGAATATAAAAATGAAAGCTTTTTTTGGCTACGAGTGCAGAAATATATGAGCTAAATTGTTTGGGGTGGCTGTGGATTACAGAACAGGACATCTACTAATGAGACAAATATTGAACCTTATGTTGCTCCTGATGCATTCGCTGGCATGTGACTGTGTTCTTGTTAGATACGCTCAAAAAAATCTGTTGTTGGATGAACACAATTTAATCATGGCACCTTTTTCCACGTGATTTAACCAAGTACAATAACCCATTTTTGATCATGTCAAACCAACACATTTGGCATTTGGTGGTTTAATGTAATCAGATTACGTTGGATCACCGTAGTATACTTGCATTGACTTGAAGTGACTGATTTAAATATGTAGAGTGAAATTTGTTTTAATTCATTCTACAAAAGTTAAAAACTTTAGGAAAACACAATGAAATCTTGTTGTTGGAACAACTACTTTGTTAATCAAGGCAATTACTGCTAGTCTTGCTTAATGAACAGATACGGGTGTTGATGATTTCATAGAGACAAAGAACCATTTGCACTTACATTCACGGGTAATTTAGAATCACCAAAACCTAACTCTAATTACACACAAACCAGCCAGATTGTGGATTTGAACCCAGGCTCTTCTTGCTGGGAGGCAACAGTACTAACCATCACGCCACCAAGCTGTCAATCCAGGCTCAACAAAGCTAGGAAAGCTATGATTGCAAGGGTTGATGCAGAACTTTCTGCAAGTTTGACATCTAATGTGATCTTGTGAATGTCGTGAGTCCAGGTAATGAACCACTCTTACTAGATTGTATCATTTCATCTCAACAAAAACAAATTAAGTTGCTGAATTTCATGTAGATGCTACATGATTCAATTACGTTCACCATAGAAACGTGAAATTATTTAGTTCAAATTACAAGTTTGGATCTTGTACATGTAACAACCACCCAATTTCATTTTTTTGAGTGTAGAAGGTATTTGTATGATTTTTTGGGCTAAATGGAACATGTTGTATAAAGTGGTCTTAGTGCTGAAGTGGAGCAGACAAAGACTATATAAGAATTCATTTCCCATCTAAACAATATAATCCAGACAACTGAAGTTGCAGCGTATGAAACAAAATGTGTGCAACTGTCATTTGTGCTACTCCCGAAAACGACAGTGGCACAAATAAACCACAAGGTGGCAGCAGATACATTTGAATCAAAGAGGTGGCGACAAACTGAAGGACTGAGGAAGGACTGAAGTGATCTACAGATGCAGTTAACCTAAATGTAAAAGTTGTCATAATTTATCAGCAGCAACATAAAGCTTGTGGGGAGTGTTATATCTGTAGGCAGCGATTCTGCATGTTTCACTTAATAAAGCCAGACAGTATTATCTTTAATTATATAATAATAAAAGTTTAGACTCTTAAACATTCGGGATCTGTATTTGAAAATCTAAAAATATGAAAAATATGAAAATGCTTCCCAAAGCCTCTTGGCTATGAGTGCACATATGTATGCTACATCTAAAAATACAGCCACATGCTTATAATGTGCAAAATGTTTACAATAAAATGATGTTTTGGTTTACAGTTGTGCTCAGTGTGATTTTAATGGTTTTTTTAATCATTGAGTATTGTTTTTGGGTCATTGGTCATTATGAGGCACAGCTGCATATGTCAGCCTTGTGTGTCTGTGGTTACATTTGTAATGCGATAATGACTGCAGTGCTGTTAAAGCCTCTGCTCGCGCGCATGCACGTGTGCGTGCGCACTCATGCGAGTGTGCGCTGACACCTGCTAGAGAGCTGCTTATTTGCATGATAAACGTGCAGCCCATCTTGTTAAGCGCCCTCTGAATGCAAACCGATACCGCCTGTTGGCCCCGCACCTGAGAGGTCAACGCTCAGCCGACTCACCCACCAACCGGGGGCAATTACCGGAGAAATCACAGGCGGGTGGAGGAGCGAGTCAACCCCGCGCTTTTAAAGGTTGGTGTGAGTCTAACCTCTGCTCGGGATAACCTGAAGGCAGACTCCTCTAGTAAAAGCAGCTGCTGAACATGTCCAGTGCGATGACAGAGCGCGCCCCGTGTGCACGCTGCGAATATTTCTGTCAGTCTAAAAAGAGGTGGAGAGGGCCCAGACTAAATTGGATTGATTTTAGGTGGGCTCTCCCTCCTCAGCACCCCTCCAAAGAGAGTCTTTTACCACGCTGCCGCCGTCTCCTCACCGGCAGTTTAGCAGTAAAACATTTTTATAATCAGACGTTATTGTTCGCCGCCTCCTTGTGGGAGATGCGCCCATGTTCATTTTTTAAAAGGGCAAATCAGCCATAATTCAGTTTATAAACTGCTGCGCGCAGGGGAGAAATGCCTGGATGAATATTCATTAGAGTCCGCCCGAACTGCCGCGCTCGGTGATTCATTAGGCATATGTAAATATCACTCACTTTAATTGCCCCTAAACTGACTCAACATAATGTTGTCATTAGCAAATTATTACTTATTTGCGATACTAATGGTACGGTATGGCGCGCGGAGCTGAAGCCACACATATATGATTGCAATTACAGCTCGTTTTATTCACAGGGTGACTGCGGGATCTGATGGATCTGTAATCCGTGTGTGTGTGTGTGTGGCTAAAGTGGCAACAATTAATTTCCTTGATTCTGAGTCTATCAGCCAACACAAACACACCGTGCGCACATCCTGCCAAACCAGCCCACGATAACAAAATAAATCGGCGTGTTTTAACATACCTCTAGAATGAACTCGAAATGATTTTAAAAATCGAAATGTTGAATTAACCTAATGAAAAACCAGTAAAAACCAAACAGTAACTTTATGAATAAAGGAAGCATGAAAATGTTTATGCGTGGATTCCATCGTGCTTGATATTTAAACAGTATAAGAAACATAAAATGTGTGTTTAAAAATATAATACGTGCGCAAAAAATAAAATGAACGTGTTTTCTTCCTCACTGATCATGAACAAATTTATTGATTTTGATTCATAACTCCTGTACTGGTTGATTTATAATGCTCTTTAAATGTTGCAACACTGCTTTTGCATAAAATTTGCTTTAGAAAAACAAATATTTTGATGATAAAGAAAATTATTTGATCCTTTAAAATTAGAGGATAGATTTGAACAGACTTAAATTGAAGAGAAATATTATTTTTCTTCTTTCAAATACTGTTTTCTAACAATATAAGGCTACCTGTTTGAAAGGGCCATGGTGTAATTCATTATTCATGTTAAATTTCATCAAATATCCCCTAAAGCTTCATATTAAATTAAGGGAAATCAGTCAGTGTTTAATTACTTTGTGTGTGTTCAGTTTACCTTCAGAAAAACAAGGCTCAGCCTCAGATTCCTGTCAGGTACCTAAATCCTCTGATGCATGCTGAAACCAGCGGCTGTCACATTTAAAAAAATAAAAAAAATCCCTCACTGCTTGTCACAGTCTGCAAAACACAGCTCG